AGAAAGCAAGATGAAAGTAGAGAATGTAGACTTGACTTAAATAGAGGTAGATGATGTATGGAGGTAAATAAGACCTAGTGTGTTAAGGGGTCGTTTGGCTGTACTTCTGGTAGAAGTTTTAGAAATGCATGATTTTATTTATTTTATTTTATTGAAGAAAAAAAAAGATATATAAATTATAAATAAATGGTTGAGTTAGCAGGTTTGGGTGTAGAAATTGGTGGTTTTATTTTTTAAATTGAATTACGTATGTTGTTAATCATAATAAATTATGCTACTTTTAAAATTTAAAGAGTTACTAATGAAAATAATTATTTTTTGGTCAACTTACACATATAGCAAACACAAATTTTATATTTGTATACTATAGCAAAGTTTGTATAAGTGTGCTCCATAGTAAACATATATATGTATAATTCGCTATCATATACATTGGATGCGAATTGTATAAAATAAATTGTATAAAACGAGAAATAGATAAATTATATATAATGAATTTATATAAAACGAGAAAGAGAAAAAGGCAAAAGAGACTTGTTCAAAAAAAAATATTTGTATTGTATATCATAAGTGTATAGGACAATTATATACAGTTTGAATTTGTATAAAATGAGAAAGAGAAAAAAGCAAAAGAGACTTGGCCGAGAATTGTACAATTGAATCAAATTGTATAAAACGAGAAAGAGAAAGTATATACAATTTGAATTTGTATAAAATGAGAAAAAAAAAAAGAAAGGCAAAAGAGATTGGCAGAGGAGTATTTTTATTGTATAATTATAAGTGTATAAGACAAAAATATATGTATTTGCATGTGTATATATAATTTTCTCCCGCTTTATACAAACAGAATTACAATTTATACATTTTATTTCTATTTGTATAAGCGAGAGAGGCGAGGGTGGCAAGCGAGATCAGGGAGAGTGGCGAGTGAGATCTAGGAGAGGGGTGAAAGGAAAATGAAAATATATGTATTTGTACAAATTCCTCTCGTTTTATACAAATACAAATGCATTTGATACATTTGTGTTTGTATAAAAAGTAAGAGAGGTGAGCAAGACTGCCACCAAACGAGAGTGGCGAGCGAAATTCCACCTAGGAGATTGATGAAAATACATATAGTTTGCTATATGTACAATTAAAAAAAAGTACATCTATAAAATTTAATTTAAATTAATAGTGTGCTATTATATACAACTTTCTCTTATTTTTTTAATAGAGCATAAAAAAAGTAGGCTAAATAAATTAATATTGATGAAATATTAATCTTATTTAAATGCTTTAAAATTGTTTCATAGTGTCTTTTTTCTATTGGACCGCGTGTATTTACTTTTCAAAAACTTAAGTCGAACATATTACAATAATTAATGCAATAAAAATTTGTAAGTTTTAGGTATTACTATCCCATTAAAGTTCCACCTAATAGTCAATATTTGTTATAAGAGTCAACATTAGTTTTAATTATTTTGTTTCAATAATAACAATCTTCAGAGAATTATTGTTACTTTCTCCGTTTATTTTTATTTATTATATTATATTTTTAAAAGTTAATTTAATTAATTTTTAAAAATTATATTAAATTATACTAATTTGATATTGTAAATTAAAAATTTAAATATTTAAAAAATATACAAAAAGTATTATACATCACAATTTTTTACATATCATATGATAAAAAGATATATCATAAAATTTCAGTAAAAATTTTAATAGTTTAACTCTAAAATAAAAAGTATGACAATTAATTGCGAACGAATGTAGCAACATATATGACTTAAAATAGCCATTTTACAGATGAGCATACACTAAGGCCTCTTTTGTTTCCATTGAGATTAAGAGGTCTAAATTTAAGTACACATTTGAATATTAAGATTTGCATTAATATATGGGTGTTTTGATTTGAATACACATCTGAATTAATATTGTTTGTTTTCAGTATCTGAATCTGAATGCAGAAGTGAAATTAAACATTATATTAATAAAATATTATAAAATTTCCATTTCAACAAAATATATCACTTTTGATTAAAAAAAAGTTTTAGTAATAATGATTTGGAGTACTATTTTTTCATTCAAAAATCTTGATAATTAACAATACATCAAAAATATTATTGCAACCAGTGTTCTTGACACACATCAATAAAAGAAAATTTTTAATATAAAAAAATATTTGAAAGAATTTATGAAAACTTACCAGTTGGGAAAAAAAATAGTATTTGCTTGATAAAAGTGAGAAAAAAAGGCATGTCCAAATCAGAGAAGTTATAATTTATTATTTGATAACTTATCAAATTAGTCTGAATATTGTTAAAAGTCTTATACAGATTTGATTCATCAGACCTCTTCAAACCCATTAAGAGTTTTTTTAAAAAATAAAACAAATGAACTGATGATTCAGATTCAAACCTAAAAATTAAACGTACTTAATAAATTGAATCTGAATAATTAAGATTTAGACCTCCATTAAATATCAACAAATGAGGCCTTAGTGTCTCTTGCATCTCTTCCACTAATACTCGCAATTCATTTTCTTGTTCGTCTACAACATTCTGTTGCATTGGAGCTTGTTTCAATGGGTTCAAATTTTGGACCTGTAAAGGCATAACTAATTTTATTTATAGCATCATTATACCTATATTGTTAAATTAATTAGCAATCGTAATAACGTTCAAATTTATCTTTCAAAGTGAAAAAGAATGTATGATCATCACAATATATTTTATCCAAATATGTACTTAATCAAATTTCCCAATAAATAATGTGCAATTGCTAAAAAAAAGTATAACATCATCACTTTTTGCAATAAGTTAAACACTTGACAATATTTAATTTTAAAAAAAAATCATAATCAATACGGAAATATGAATTAATTTCAAAAGTAAAGAAAAAATAATCAATGATCAAAGCATAGAAACAAATTACAGTGTATATTATATAATTAATTTTCTTAAATTTCAAATAGAGTGAAATAATTATTTATAAATGTCACAATATTTTCTTCGTTATTTTGATGCTAGTTTGTCATTTCGTTTGAAAGATATACTAATACATGCTTTATATAATCCTACATATAAAAAAATTAAATATTAATCATGTCTACTTTAATTTAAAAATCAATTTACAGTATTTTAATCGAGTACGAAATTTTAACTGTTAATTTAATTAGGCATAATATATAAATAAGACCTCTTACTTAATTTCAAATTATAACTTTGATTACTCAAATTTAAACCAATTTTTTTTTTTAAATATTTCACACAAAACGCATGATATACAAATGTTTTAGCGTGGATAAGTGAACTATCCAGTTGGTCAACTAACTAAAATAAATACACCTAGATTTTAAAAATAACAAAATAAATTATAATATATAATAAGGTGAAAGCGAAAACAAATTCATTTTTAGGGAAAACAATTAGCTCTTCACCTTTTTTTTAAAAAAAAAATCCCAAATAAAAAATTTCTAAAATTCATGCGCCTAATATTCTAATCAAACAAAAATTTGATTTCTTTCCTAATTTGGTGAAGATATCAAGGTTTAGCACTTTACAAATAAGAATTTGCATATTGTTGGTCAGGTATTCAAGCCAATATGAGAATCACTAGAGAAAACTAATGTTTTTGTTGCAAATTATTCCACGAAGACATGAGAATCAATGACCTTCACCCTTCTTTTCATTAGTTTGAAGTGTTTTTGTGCTTTAAATTGTTAAATTTTTAATAAAAAGACACATATTTTTGTGTATTGTAATTGTCATACTGAGTAGCAAATTATAATTATAAATTTATGGAGGCAAAAAAATAAACAAACAGTGCTAAAAATTATTAATTAAAATGGTACATTTAAAGTGTTTGATAAATTATCTGAATAAATATTTCAAAGATTTTTGTCAAATTCGAGTAGTAATCAAAAACCTAATCAAAATGTAAGGAGTCCTTAAGTGTGAATTGAAGTCGTTGATTGAGAATCTTCAGTGCATTTAACTTTTACAAGTATCTACTCACTCCATCTTGCCAAAAAAAAAGAAACTTTTTTATAGTTTTTTTCCTGAAAAAATGCACAATTACCCCCTCAACCTATGTTCGAATTTTCAGATACACACTTATACTATACTAAGGTTCTATTACCCTCCTAACTTACTTTACAAGTAATTTTCTACCCCCATTTCGGCCTACGTGGCACTAGCTTGAAAGAAAAAAAAACCAACGTTGGACCCACAAGATAATGCCACATAGGCCGAAAAATGATAGAAAATTATTAATAAAATAAGTTCAGGGCGGGGTACTAGGAGGACCTTAGTATAGCATAAGTGTGTCTCTGAGATTTCGAATATAGATTGAGAAGGTACTTGTGCATTATCCTTTTTTTCATAATAACAAAATAACAATTAATGCACTTGCACTTTGTTGCATTTTGCAATGAACAACAAATAATGCAAAAAAGAGGGAGAAATTGTTGAAAAAATTAGAAAGACAGTAATATATATTTATAATAATAATTTAATTGTCTTTTCAATATTTTTTATGGTTGTTCTTCAATTTTTACATCCAACGAACTTAATTTGGATGTATTTTACACATTTTGCCAGATTAGGATCTGAGTGTTTTTGTTTAAGTTTTGGATAATTAAGTTGTCTACCTGTGCACTAACAAAGTTAAAGGTTGAAGTTATAATTTGTAGCCAAGTCAAGGGTCATATATATATATATATATATTATGATATTTAATTATTATAACTAATCCGTATTCCAACGAATAAATATTTTAGCTTGTTAAGCTAAAAACTTAGTTGATTAATAGAGAAGTTAATTTATATGAGTATTACTTCGAGTTGGTCTTATTCTAAGGAAAAAATAATGGATTTTGATTAAGCATCAAATTACAAATTGTTCTAATGTAGCTACATTTTAAACATTTTATTTTGGTTATAATCGAAACAAAGTGCCATCTTTATTAACCCCAAACCAACCCATTTCTTCGGATTTACCCGGACCAAGACCCGGCTAGCCTAATTGAGAGCCGATCCAACTCCCTCGTTAATCCCAAATCCCAATCCCAATCGGCAATCATCTTCCTTCAAACACAAACCCTAATAACCTCTCTCTTAGCAACTCGACGCCGGCCAAATCGGTAAAGGATTCGAGAAAATATCGCATCGTACCACCATTGTTCGCCGAATCCATCAGCTTGTCGTCTCCCTCAAGCACGAGTTCCAAATGGTAATCTCGCCTATCTTATTTTCCTCCTTTTCTTTCAATTTTAGTACGATCACAAGGACGAATACATCTGGATTTCAAGGTTCTTCTAGAATTTGTTGAATTGAAACATGAATTGCATATCCACATGAATTCCTACATGGATGCAAATCTCAAACCCTAGACATTTGGGATATTGACTCACTCTGCTAAGCATATTATTTTATCCACGAGACTAATCATTTTCTCTTTTCATTCAAGTGCCATTTCTGCTGACTCTACTGTGAGATTCGAAGCATCTTCATCTCTCCCTCGCTTTAGTTGGTTGCCCCCGAGAAAGGTAACATTCTTCCCCTTTTGTTTTTTCAGTATTAGAATAGCTCAAATTTTATCATTTGGTAATCCCCTTTTTTTTTTCCAGTTCTATGTGGTCTTTGGTATTGCTTAGTTCTGCTTCCTGTTTAATTTCGGCATTGGTGATTCAATCTTTGTTATAAGGCTTTGCTTAGCTTCTGTATGAGTAAAAATCACAAGTGGATCTTCTTAAGTAATCTTAAGGCTGTCTCTTAGACTTCTTTCTGTTTGTCCAAAATCACGAATTAGTTTTGTTTGTTCGACAGTCATAAGATTTTGTGTGTAAAACATGATGTTCTCTTCCAGTAATCTTTTCTTCCTCTTTTACTTCCTGTTGTCTTTCCTTATTTTCTTTAAATTCAGATTGGTAAATATGTGTTAATTTCGACATCAGTTAGTACTACATGCTCATACACCATTTATCATAAAGAATAGAACTCAAATGCCTTACTTTCCTTAGATTTCAAAAGACGTGTTGAGCAAGAAATTCGTATCTACCTTTTAGAATGTATTGGTTTGGTTTCTTACTTAGTAGTAGATTTTGAAGCAAGTGATTTTGTTTTTTTAGTCACAGAGGTTCTGAATATGAAACTTGTGCCTATGCTCCTTGTCTATAATTAAAGGTTCTCTAAACTGGATGCATACGGTGAACATGCACTCTCTACTCATCTTACACTAAGTAAAAAAGGGAACTCCCAGATATTTTCCTTACACTGAATAGAAAATGTTGTTCCGGTAATATTGGATGATCTTTGACTGCACAGAACCACTTTTCAATGTGTTGTGTTCTCAATCCTTATATTGATACTTTGTAGTTTTTCTTAAATCTAGGGTTTCGACGTGGCTTCAATCTCATCTGTTCCTTCTTCCAATGGCTTCTAGCTCTCATAGAGGTGGTGATTTCTACGGTGCTGCTTCCCACAGATCCAGGTATTTACCGAATAAAATATCATCATCTTCTAAATTTCAATTCGTTATGGTTCTAATTGCTTTCACAAAATGAGTTTTGTAATAGAAAATTACCGGAAGTATCAACCTAATTTGCAGAAAATTAACCGATCTACACCTTTTTTTTTTCTAAATTTTTTTGTTTATTTTTGAGAAATTAAGATGTTTTATGTGTTGGATTTATTAGAGATGGATTGAGTACAAGGGCAGTAGGTGGTTCAGATGAAATACAGTTGCGAATTGATCCCATGCATGGAGACCTGGATGATGAGATCACAGGTCTTCGCAAGCAAGTAAAACAGCTCAGAAATGTATGTTTTTGTAACCACCTTGTTTTGGTTTTCTATTTTGATTAAGTTGGAAAAAAGCTTTTGCATAATTGTTGGCTTTTTAAAGATTTGTGTACACATCAAATTCAGTGACGTGCTATGTCATGGATCCATTTTAGACAAGGTGATCTGTTATTCATTAGAGCGCTGGATAATATTTATTAGAAAACCAATATGAAGCTTACGGTCTTCTTTGAGATAGCTTAAGTCTCTCCCACGGGCAAATAGAAGTTATTTTTCCTCATGATATTAAAGATTGATACTATCACAATGAAATTTAGTGCTTCATTTTGATTCATTTATATCTAAAGACGCAGAATACTTAGTTGTTAACGAAGCAAGACACCTTAAATTTGTCTTCCATTTGATTTTCTAAAATGGAATCTTGAAATTATATAGAAGATGGGGTTTGACAAAATAAAAAAAGATGTTCTAATACCAATACACTTCTTTTGTGTAATGATCTAAATGTTGATGGTATGTGGAGGGTTCTCTTTTAACTGGCTAAGCAACTGATGGAGAGTGGGGAATGGAAACAAAGATTTATTGTGTTACCTTTAATTGATCAAATCGTAATGGATTAGAAAAATGTTAATTCACTTGTTAATTTTTACATTTCCGCTGGTTAAGACCATTGGACAACGCTGAACTGTCAAGATATTCTGGTTCCCCAGAGGTATTCTTTGCATAAAAGCGCATTGCATTAGAACTCAAAAGCATGTGTTTAAGTGCTTTTTTTGCTCGTTGGTTTCAATTGAATCAATTGCTAGATTAAAAAGATATGAAGTTTGACTGGATATTAAGCAAGTACTGCCTTATTTCTGGTCAGTTATGTCTACCTTCATTTTTGGTATGGGCCTATTATGATGTTCTATCATGCTGACATACTTCAGTCCGGTCTTTGAGTTGGATGCTAGAGAGATATCACCGCATATGTCTAGGTTCTAAATCCATCCCTGTGAAATCTGAAAGTTGGTGTCCAGATGTCGATGTTCTATATCTATGTATGTGTATATATATAGATACATAAATATATATATACATACATATATATACATATATATATATTACATATATATATATATATATTACATATATATGTATATACATATATATAAACATATATATACATATATATATATATATATAGTTATCAAAGGTGAAAAGAGCAAAAAATCTTTAAGGTCTGTGCGGGCTTTAAGCGCAAAGAGCAAATAAAGCGTGGGCTTTAATGGAAAAAGGCGCAAAGGGAGAAAGAAAATATAAATATATATATGTTTAGTCCAAGACTAATAATTATAAACATGAATGACAAATATATGACAAATGAAATTGAATATTTTAAATTATAAAGTGAATTGTCAGTTGTTTAGTGTCAATTCTTCATAAGAGGCTCATTGGCAAGGAAAAATTTGTCTTAGAACCTTGATGGTGGCAAATATATGACAAATGAAATTGAATATTTTAAATTATAAAGTGAATTGTCAGTTGTTTAGTGTCAATTCTTCATAAGAGGCTCATTGGCAAGGAAAAGTTTGTCTTAGAACCTTGATGGTGGCATTGAAGCGCACATGAAGCGAGGTGAAGCGCTCAACACGTTTTGAGCCTCACTTCATGGCTTAAGCATGCCTTTGATATATATATATATATATATATATTCAAATAGTTTAAAAGACCTACAAAATTTTTTAGGAATAATAAACTACGCTAGACCATTTATTAAACATTTAGATAAACTTGCAAGACCATTATATTCTAAGACAGGATGCAAAGGACAGAAAATTTTTAATATCGAAGATATAAAATTAGTGCAAAAAATAAAAGACAAAATAAAAAATATTCCTGATCTTAATATGCCTTTAAAATCAGATTATTTAATCATTGAAACAGATGGTAGTTCAGAAGGATGGGGGCAATATTAAAAGCTAGACCGCATAAATATAGTCTTAATAAAAAAGAAAGAATATGCGCCTACCAAAGCGGAAAATATAAAGAAAAAAGAAATAAAGCTAGTATAGACATTGAAATCCTAACTGTAATATATGACTTGAAAAGTTTTAGAATATACATTTTAAACGAACTAGATTTATTAGTAAGGACAGACTGTGAGACCATAGTAAAATTTCATGAGAAATTAAGGATAAAAGCAGTAGTAGAAGACGATGGTTACTATATCTATTTATCAATCTATAGTATTTGAGCATATAAAAGGAAATGATAATCATATAGCTAATCAATTAAGTAGATTGCTAATAAAAATTTAAATTTTACAAAATGAGACCATTACTACCAAACAAGGGTAAAAGAGTTCAACCTTCAACCCTAGAGTACGCAGACTCTTACAAAGACTACAGTTTGGACAACAAAACTTAATAGCATATGAACCGTCTAACTGGACATTCAGACATTTGCCTAATTGCCAACTAGATAAACAGCAAACATGCCTCATAGATAATATATGGATAACACATAATAAAAAATACACTAAATATGCAATTGCTGTTAATGTTTTCGAATATTATTTTACTAACAAAAATAAATAAGATAAATCTAAATATTATGTTGTAATAATGGCAAAACAAACGGTGTTTTCCAGACATGGATAGAAGTTTTAGACTCTATAAAAGGTTTTCAAAAATCTTTTTTAAAGGTTTTAATGAATTTACAGAAGCTTTAGTCTATGCTAGAGGGATATTAGGACCAAATTACTATATTTCTCTAGCCCTCAGACAAAACCCAGATAAAACTCCAAAATACAACATCCAAAAAGACACAGACAAAGTAATATTCTGCGACCATTGCTCATCTATGATTGAAGCATTTAAAAGGCAAAACCTCAAAAACGAAGCTTTAATGCAATAAAATGCCAAGTTCAGGGAAAAACTTCGAAAAATGGAAAGCAAAGGCCAGACTACACAAGATGTACAAACTCAGACAAAAATACAGGGTTTTCCATCCCTAATAAAAATGGATGAGATGGATGTGCATTCCCTACTGAATGTTAAGAAATCCACTGTATCGGATGAAGATACAGCTATTCCGGTTCAAACGGTAGCCGGTAAAGACTTATCAAATCCGTGTATGGCTGTCATTTTGCCAAAAAGTGAAAATGAAGAAAGTTAATCTTCTTCCTAGAATAGACAAAGACTACCACTCTCTTTCACCCAGACACTGTGATAGAAAACCAAAAAAAAAGCCCAAAAAACTAAAGGCAAAGAATTTTTTCATTACCAAGACAGTAGGAAAATTACTTAAACAAAAGCAGGAACAAGATAAACATATAATTAAAGACCCAAGCCCAATTCGAAGCCAGAGAAGTAGTCCAGATAACTCAGAAAACTAAAGACATAGAATTGCATTGTTTCTAAGAAATCTTGTGAGTTATCTCGACTTCTTCTCTGGCTTGGAATTGGGCTTGGGTCTCTAATTATAATGTTTATCTTGTTTCTGTTTTTGTTTGAGTAATTTTTCTACTGTCTCGGTAATGAGAAATTCTATGTCTTTAGTTTTTTGGGTTTTCTTTTAGTTTTCTGTCACAGTGTCTGGGGTGAAAGAGAGTGGTAGTCTTCATCTATTCTGGGATGAAGATGAACTTTCTTCATTTTCACTTTTTGGCAAAGTGACGGCCATAAACGGATTTGATAAGTCTTTACCGGCTACCGTTTGAACCGGACTAGCTGTATCTTCATCCGATACAGTGGATTTCTTAACATTCAGTGGGGAATGCACACCCATTTCATCCATTTTTATTAGGGATGGAAAATCATGTATTTCTGTCTGAGTTTGTACATCTTGTGTAGTCTAGCATTTGCTTTCCATTTTTTTGAAGTTTTTCCCTGAACTTGGCATTTTATTGCATTAAAGCTTCGTTTTTGAGGTTTAGTCTTTTAAATGCTTCAGTCATAGATGAGCAATGATCGCAGAATATTACTTTGTCTGTGTCTTTTTGAATGCTGTATTTTGGAGTTTTGTCTGAGGGCTGGAGAAATATTGTAATTTTGGTCCTAATATCTCTCTAGCATAGTCTAAAGCTTCTGTAAATTCATTAAAACCTTTAAAAAAAGATTTTTGAAAACCTTTAATAAAGTCTAAAACTTCTATCCATGTCTGAAAAACACCGTTTGTTTTGCCATGAATTACCACATAATATTTAAATTTATTTTCTTTATTTTTGTTAGTAAAATAATATTCCAAAGCATTTAAAACAACAATTACATATTTAGTGTCTTTTTATTATGTGTTATCCATATATTATCTATGAGGCATGTTTGCTGTTTATCTAGTTGGCAATTAGGCAAATGTCTGAATGTCCAGTTAGACGGTTCATATGCTATTAAGTTTTGTTGTCCAAACTGTAGTCTTTTTATTTTGACATCGTCAATTTTGTTTATAGGTCTAAAATGTAAATTTGATAACATTTTCTGTTTATAAGAGTCTGCGTAATCTAGGGTTGAAGGTTGAACTCTTTTACCCTTGTCTGGTAGTTTTGGTCTCATTCTGTAAAATTTAAACTTTTATTAGCAATCCACTTAATTGATCAGTTATACGATTATCATTTCCTTTTATATGCTCAAATACTATTGATTGATAAATAGATATAGTATCTAAAAAATTTAACCATCGTCTTCTACTACTGCTTTTATCATTAATTTTCTGATGAAATTTTACTATGGTCTCACAGTCTGTTCTTACTAATAGTTCTGGTTTGTTTAAAATGTATATTCTAAAACTATTCAGGCCATATATTACAGTTAGGATTTCAATGTCTATACTAGCTTTATTTCTTTTTTTCTTTATATTTTCCGCTTTGGTAGGCGCATATTCTTTCTTCTTTATTAGGACTATATTAATTATCTTCTATATTAAAATTTCTTTGTCCTTTGCATCATGTCTTAGAATATAATGGTCCTGCAAATTTTCATAAATTTTTAATAAATGGTTTAACGTAGTTTATTATTCCTAAAATTTTTTGTAGGTCTTTTAAACTATTTAATTTATTTGGCATATCTAGGGCTTTTTTTTCTATATGAGGTTGTAGTTTAATTTTTTCTTCTCCTAATGTAATTCCTAAAAAATTTATGTAGTTCTTACATAGTTTCATTTTCTTTTTACTAATTATTATTCCATTATATATATATATATATATGGACCAGTAATCGCAAGACGAAATCCCTTTTCTGGTTTAAATCAACTTGCCCAAAAGAATACTGATTTCTGAACTTGGGCTCAGCTTGGGGTTAAATCTTCTACTTCTGCATTGATGTAATACAACTGTCCATTTGTTTAGTCCACTGCCAACCTATTCCTCTTCATCTCTTTGCTATCTAGTATGTACATTGATATCTGGACCACACTAATAATAAAGAGCTGCAAATGGTACCAAAAAGATATGGCAAGTGCTTTGATCCTTATGTCTGCAGTTCAAGATGGATCCAACGTATGTTTTCACGGTTGCGATTCCCAATGTTGAGGTATTAAGAAGGATCACTTTTTGAGCTGATAATCACTGGTTGTTGGCTTCCTTATGCATCAGAAACAGGACTAAAGTTTTATATTTCTAATTGAACATTGCTTGTGGTGAAAGTCCTGTCGTCGGAGTTCAGGAAGATCTTTATCCCGTATGTCACATTATTCGATGCATCTTTTCCAACCTCTATTCTCTCATTTGTTGGCCCTACTTGTTATATCATATTTGTCACGGTTTCAGATTTCTATTCTTACTTACCCTTTTGCTAGTACTTACAAATATTTCATGTTGCAGGTAGCACAAGAAATTGAGTCGGAAGCAAAGTATCAGAATGATTTTATTAACCAACTGGTATGTCATGAACTTGTTCTCCCTTTTCCCGCATGTATGACATCCTTTGAGACCCTTTTTTGTCTTTTTTCCGTATATTTCATTTGCTTTGACAATTAAATTTGTATATTTGAGCTTTACTGATATTTATTTTCCTATATGTTAATGGATAACTATCTAACATGCGCCAATAAGTTAGGAGATATGGGAAAATGAATCATATTTAATCTAATAAATGAGTAAAAGTTTACAATTGCTAACTTTTATTTACAGCTCCCACGATCCTCTGTCTTTTATTTCTCTTCCTCTATAATCTGGAAATTGCAATTGTTATTACTGTATATATCTTTTGGAAATGACAGTGTACTTGTTACCTTCCTTTGCCTTTTCTTAGGGATTACCATGCAAGTCTGCCTGAATGCTTTCGTTTTCTCTGTGCTTTCTCATGTTCTTTGAAGATATATGTCCTTGACTCCTTGTCAGATCTCCATCAATTGACTATGATAAGACCAAACTTGATTGCATTTTTCCTTTGTTCTTGAGGATAATGTGTGCTGAGATATTGGAAAATAAACATTAATGCTTAATCTGAATGATGTATTTCTAAGAGCTATCCATTCTTGTATAAATGAATTAAAGAAGATACTTTAGATTGCTTCAAGCCGTTAGAATTTAGAACTATTAATCTTCCTAGAGTTAACTTGTCATTGTTTTATCAACGTGTTGATTGGTGAGCCTGTCTGGGTTATTCACGATGTATACTTTTTTTATTGTTATGGGATCATTCTTACTTTTAAAGTTACATGACTTCTCCATTTTCTTAATACTCACGACTTCCCTTTTATCACAGCAAATGACGTTGATCAAAGCTCAAGCAGGAGTAAAGAACAACATGAGACGGTTGAACAGGAGTATCATCCGGGAAGGATCTAACCATGTGATGCATGTGGTTCTTTTTGCACTATTTTGCTTCTTTGTGATATATTGGTTGGCCAAGTTCTCAAGGAGATAAGGGCAACCCTATCTTTCTATGCTGGTTTGCTGTTTCCTGACAAAGATCTGATGAAGACGCAATCTATTCAAACCGTCAAACATATGCTTGGCAGGTTTTTAGTGATTGTGGAGTAAGAGTGCAGCTTTAGAAACTCCGAATATTTAGTCTTTATGTAAAGTTTCCTAATATGTAGAAGCACTGTGGGACAAAAAATCCCAGTGAAAGAAGAAATATCATATCTTGTAATATACATTGTTTGCGACCTTGTTAAAAATCTCTATAGATGAACTCAGTGAGACAAAATCTCTCTTAAGTAGAATTTTACTTCTCTGATAAAAACATCATTTAATATTCCGTAGATGACAATTGACACATTTGGATATTGTATATCAGTTTCTCAAATGTTGGGTTTGACAATGCCTTCAGTTAATAAATTTGCTATACTGTTTATTTGAACTTCTTTTACATCTTTAACCGGTTTTTGAAGATCACATGTGAATAACTTACATTGAAATGTGTTTTACTTTTGTTCCATCTTCAACATATCAATTATAATAATTCGAGTTTATTCATTCCGTTTTTTCTTTATGAATTTTGAGAATTTATGGATAAAAGAAACATGATAAAAATCAATATGAATATTATAAAGACAATAAAAAAAATTGTTAGTTCTTTCGTTTACATCCCTTATCAGTGCAAGGACAACTATCTCTTGAGCACAGGTTTAGGTTCGGCTTCAATGGAAAAATAAAATGGAGCACCTAACAACATCTTCACAGACCAAGAACTACGACATCATTCCTTTCATTCTGGGGTGACGGAGGGATCGTACCATTAGCATAAGGTTTGTCTCCTACTACTAAATTATAAGCATCTAGATTTTTTTATTAATATTAACGACGAGATCTATTATCGCTTTTTGCATGTTCTCTAAAATTTAATGTAGGTGCAAATTCTCCCAATTTGTGGCCTACCATACTATTCGTTATATAAATAGGCAATGCTGTTTTTCATTATGGATAGCAATAGCATGACCGATCATTGTGGGTATAATGGTAGATACCCGGGATCAAGTTACTATTATTTTTTTTTTGCTTTTGTGTTAAGCTTATCAATTTTTTTTAAAAAATAAATGATTGGCTACAAAGGGATTTTTTTAAGTGAACATGTTACAAGCTTACTCCTATTTTTTTTGTAAAGTTTTTGTAAAAACGAAGAATTAAATTCTATTTTCTCTCCTATTTACTACGGTAATGAAGAATATTATCACTATATTTATTCTTTGTTATAGTATATATAATCGCTTCCGATTTAGGTGGACAACCTGACAAATATACAGGAATTAGCTTATCGACTCCTCGAACAGTACTATAAGAATCAGTACTGAACATCCCGCTTGTAATTGTACAGACTCCCATAGCAATAACATATTTTGGTCCAGGCATTTGCTCATATAATCTCACTAAAGAGGGGGCCATTTTTATTGTTACTGTTTCGGTTGTTAAAATTAGATCCGATTATCTAAGACTCGATCTTGGTACGAGTCCATAACGATCAAAGTCGAAGCGTGAGCCTATTAGTAAAGCAAATTCAATGAAGCAATAACTGGCTGGTATCATAGAAAAACGACCATAAACAAGAGAGTCTTAACCAATTTGAAAGATCATTTCATATAATTAAAATAACTGAATTTGAGGCTTACAAATAGATTTTTCTAATGATAGAAAATGGGATCAACTCCCCCATTGCATATTGGTACTTATCGAGAATGATGTGGTCTAATCTTATATGCCAATTGTTCAAATGTTGATATTGAAAATGACCAAAAACACATTTATGAAGACGTTGATTTCTTGAGCTCATAATACCAATATATGGTTTGTTTGCTTCATAATTATTATTATCTTTGCATGATTTGCATAATTAGCCAATATTTGATTGTATATACGAGTTGTTTGCTTCATGATTATTATTATCTTGACATGATTTGCATAAAATGCAATTAAAGCGATTGCTTACTAGAATATCATAAGTATAGCGACACTCCCATATGCAAACAAAATGTTGTGTGTGATTGAGCGTTTTGTAAATTGAATATTTTTTCTGAATATGTATAACGAAACAATTCTTTAACAGTATTAATAAAAT